ATATATATATAGATATATATATATATTTAGGGCTGTCAAATGATTAATTGCGATTAATTGCATCCAAAAAAACCTTAAAGTAAGTATTATTATTATTATTATATTTTATGTTTTATATAATTTTTTATTTTTTAGCCAAAAAAGGGGTTTTGGCTGTCAGTTTATCCAAGCTACCTCATTTTAAATACACATAATATATGAAACCGAGGGCCTCTTTTCTCTGTTCTTTTGACTTTTGCTAAGGTCTTCTTGTCACAAGCTTTTAGAGGTTGTCATGAAGACATGCTCTTTTGATGATACATTTAGTCACAACCCAGTTATAAGACACTTACACACACAAGAGAAGCTGTTATCTCTTTAGCTCTCTCGCTCTTTCTGTCCACTCTCTGTGTTTGTTTTCCCATTTAGTGTGTTCATCCTCAAGTTTATCCTTCTCTATTACTGTTATAAATAGAAAGTAGTGTGTGTGTTGGCCACAGAACTCATTCACAATGTGTGCTGTTCATCTGTCTTGCCCTTATCACAACACATTTGGCCTTAGGTCAACATAAACATGCCCTAAAAACAGTCCAGTACTTTCTGTTCTGCTTAAATAGAACATGTATGTCACTGATTTGCTCTGCTGTAAATCAAGTGGGTTACCAGTGTGTACTATCACATAACAGCTGTGTCAACTGTGTTCCTAGTCAAAGCTTTTACTGCTTTAATATTATAAACATAATGCAAAAAAAAATTAGCTTATTGGGCCTTTGTGAGAAGATTGCTTAAATTAGTTCTTAGGTTTGTACAATGATCTAGAAAATCTGGCATTTAAATTTTATCTTTAAACAAAGTTTTAAGTTTTGAAAAATGTAAAACAAAGAATGATGAATTATTTAAATGAACACCCATTTTATTTTCCGTTTTGCTTTGTTTTGACCTTTCTACATTATTGCAGATTGTAAAAGACAAATGACGTTTAAAACACTTAATTATTTTGCTGGTACAATAAAAACATCATGAGTACTAAATAAACATTCAAATTAAATCAGGCAAAGTTTTAAGTATTTTGCTAATTTGCTTGTTTTAATGAGCAAATTATCTAAAATTGAAAGTATCTTATATTGGAAAACGAAATTCTAAAATCCTAAATAAGTATTTATTACAGCATTTTCACAAGAGGAAACTTCTCTGTAACTCTCTGTATTTTATAATGGTACATGTTTATTTGCTGTGTGCATATTAAAGAAATGAACAGCAGTTAATGCTGGTACACTCGTTTATTCAACCTCTTTTTTCACACACGCCGGTTTTGAGCTTCCATCCTTTACATGTCTGTGTTTACAGGATAGTGCTAAATAATGAGTAAAATGGTTTCATTGTGTTGGACTACACATTCATGTGTGTGTTTATTTGTGTGCAGATCTCTCTCTTGTGAGGTTTATTAGTGCTGAGTTGACTAGAGGATATTTTCTGGAACACAATGAGGCCAAATACACTGAGCGGAGAGAGAGGGTCTATACCTGCCTGCGTATTCCAAAAGAACTGGAGAAGGTACCAAACACAAATGCATAGTCCATACACGCTTACATGCACTCATCTCTTTTGTACAGTATCCTTTATTACTCTGTGCATTAAACCTGATGTTTGATTTATCTGCCACCAAACAGAAATGCAAAAATAATGATACATGTATGTATGTGTCAGGGTTCTTAAATGGATAGTTCATCCAATAATAATACCCAATTGTCCCAAACCTATGAATTTATTTTTTCTGTTAAACATATAATAAGATATTTTGAAGAATGTTGGTAACCAAACAGTTGCTGGTAGCCATTGACTTGCATAATATGGAATTTAAAAAAGTATTAGAAGTTAATGGCTACCAGCAACTGTTAAGTTACCAACGGCAAGGTTTATCTACTACTTTTATTAAACTTAATGGTCATTTTTAGTTATTTTGGAGCCATTGAAGTAAGTTGTACCACATCCAGGACATCACAGTATTAGAAGTTAATGGCTACCAGCAACTGTTAAGTTACCAACGGCAAGGTTTATCTACTACTTTTATTAAACTTAATGGTCATTTTTAGTAATTTTGGAGCCATTGAAGTAAGTTGTACCACATCCAGGACATCACTGGTCTCTCTTTTTCTCTTTGTAGCTGATGATGTTTGGGTTTTTCCTGTGTCTGGATGTGTTTCTGTACGTGTTCACTCTGCTGCCCCTCAGAGTGCTGCTGGCCCTGATCAGACTGCTGACACTGCCCTGCTGCGGCCTCAGGTAATACACACGCTGTTCTCAGGATATGCGTGGTGGAATATTCCCAAAAGTAGTACTTTCATAATATTCTGATAATCTAACAGGTTGAAACATCTGAGCTGTCCAACTTTTTCTTTCAGTGTTATTACACACAAATACCCACACACCCTTAAGCCCAAAATGATTGTGCATATAGCTGCTGTTCACTGTATATTCTTCTGCCTGCAGGGCTAGTATATGCCCCTACTGCAAAAAGAGCAGGTATGCAGAAAAAAACGACTGCAGCTGCTTTAAGCACACACACCCGTGCTGGTATGATTGCAGCGGCTGTGTTCAAACACACACACACACACACACACACACTAGTCTTCAGTTGCCATAGCTGTCTAATTTTGCACTGTTGTGTTTTGATTTCACCCTGGACTACTAAAATCATCTGAGATCATTCCCAGAATTCTCCTGTTCTTCTTTCAGTGTTCAGGGTGTACTTGCATGATCGGTCACAGGATGGCAGTGTGGTCATGTTCAACAAGTGAATGCTGTGATAGGAGGAGAAGCCATACTTAATGCAATATAATAACAATGCAGTATATCGTAAATAGCATCTGATAATGAAACTTCAGTAAATTGCATTCAGTGCATGCATTACAATACCTAATGAATTATACGTCATTTCTTGTACAAAATATAATTGGCAGAAGCCAATTATGTTTAAAGGAATGTAGATTCTATTTACAGTTAGAGTAAATAGTTGCACATACTGTTAGCACCCCAGTGTAAATACTAACACTGAGTGCATTTTTTTAGTAACAAGCACTTAATATTTGTGTATTTAAATACACTCATCATTCAAAAGTTTGGGGTCAATGAGATTTTAGATTTTTCCTTAAAAAGTTACTCTCATGCTCGCTAAGGCTGCATTTATTTGATCAAAAAAATACAGTAAAAACAGAATGCTAAATTACAAACGAATATAATTTTTGTATTTCAAAACATTAACAAAAATAATTTCTTATTTTTTTTTTAAATATAAAGCCGTTCTAATGCTCTAAAGATTTGGTGCTCAAGAAACATTTCTTATTATCAATAGTTCTGCCAATTTATTTTTGTGGAAACCATGACAATAGAACATTCAGAAGTACAGCATTTGTTTAAAATAGAAATGTTTTGTAACAGTATTTTTATTTATTTATTTATTTTTAAAGAGCTCAGGTCATTTATACAAAAATATCAGTGCATATGCTTTACCCGCCAGGCACTTTGACATAATTAAATCAGCATTTTTTCACAGCTATTTCAGTGCAAATAGCTGTCTAAATCCAGTTCTTGAGCCTGTGAATGTAAAGCTTGTTATATTGTTCTTGTCAGTAATCCAAAACAATGGATTGCTGCTCTTGGACTTTCTAATGGCATTTTGTGATTTCAGCATATTTATGTAAACAATTATGTGTCATATCAAAACACTCAATCATGAATTGTTTCATATTTATTACTTTATCATTTAGTAAAGCTTGTAATGGAATTGTTGTTAGAGAAAATAATTACACTTTGTAAATACTGTATTTTAATTATATTTAATTTACTTACATAAAATTATTATAACAGTATAGAATAAATGAACTGTTTCAGTTCAAATATATTAAATATTTTAATGCTGTGTATGTGTTTGGGTTCATGTACACTGCTGATCTTGCCCTAGCACAAGTCATGTGTTTAGCATGATGCATGCACCACTGAGTGTGTGACGCAAGACCACTAACCCAGTGGCTATGTGTGGAAGAAGATCTAACTAATAGAAGAACTGCTTTGTGATTCTAATCAGTTACTCTTCCATTGTGTAATGTCTGTGGAGCCAATTTAGCCTGAAGAAGTTTTTTCTCGTTTATGTGTGGGTGTGTGTGTGTGCGCAGTGGATCTCGTATCTTGCAGCCTGCTCAGGTGTGTGATGTTCTGAAGGGTTTCATCATGGTTCTGTGTTATTTCATGATGCATTATGTGGATTACTCCATGATGTACCACCTGATCCGGGGTCAGTCTGTCATAAAACTCTACATCATCTACAACATGCTGGAGGTACAGTATCACAACACTCACATTTGTTGCTATTATATTAGCAGTAGTTGAATGAACACTCTCTGTTTCTCCTCTAGGTGGCAGATCGCTTGTTTTCATCTTTCGGTCAGGATATTCTGGATGCTTTGTACTGGACTGCCACTGAACCTAAAGAGAGAAAAAGAGCTCATATAGGAGTCATCCCACACTTCTTCATGGCTGTTCTCTACGTCTGTATCCTTCACACTTGCTTTGTTTCAAATGCCAAATAGTCATATTTAAATGTAAATATAAAGATATAAAGATCATTTTATATAGATTTGAATAATTAAATATTCAAAGTAAGAATTTAAAGAAATAAAAAGGTTAATTTATAATATTTTTGCATATATTTAATATAATGTGTAAGTAAAATTAATACTAAAAATGAATACACGAATAAATACAAAACTAAAGATTGTGTTACTTAAACTCTACAGCTTCAAGCTCTGCATGAAATCTATTTAACTACACTGAAACTGCTCAGTTGTATTTATTAATTGTTTTATTATTTAATTTAAATTCAAGTGTTGTGTTGTGTCATATTTGATGTATTACAATCAGTCATGGGTTATAACTTTCCTTAATTAATAATCCAGTTCTACATGCCATTCTGATTATGGTCCAGGCCACCACGCTGAACGTGGCTTTCAATTCACACAACAAGTCGATATAAAGATCATTTTATATAGATTTGAATAATTAAATATTCAAAGTAAGAATTTAAAGAAATAAAAAGGTTAATTTATAATATTTTTGCATATATTTAATATAATGTGTAAGTAAAATTAATACTAAAAATGAATACACAAATAAATACAAAACTAAAGATTGTGTTACTTAAACTCTACAGCTTCAAGCTCTGCATGAAATCTATTTAACTACACTGAAACTGCTCAGTTGTATTTATTAATTGTTTTATTATTTAATTTAAATTCAAGTGTTGTGTTGTGTCATATTTGATGTATTACAATCAGTCATGGGTTATAACTTTCCTTAATTAATAATCCAGTTCTACATGCCATTCTGATTATGGTCCAGGCCACCACGCTGAACGTGGCTTTCAATTCACACAACAAGTCACTGCTCACCATTATGATGTCTAATAATGTGAGTACAAGCAAACTACCTTGACAGTAACATTAATGGCTTTGGTTAATTTATTTGGTTAAATTAAATTAAATACATTACAAATGACCTTAATTTCTTCATCGTGGTTGCTGTATATTACCTTAAATGAAGGAACACTCTTTCATGCCTCCTTTTGTGGGGTTTATATTAATGTATGTTTTTTTTCTCTATATAGTTTGTTGAGATCAAAGGAAGTGTATTCAAGAAATTTGAGAAAAACAACCTCTTCCAAATGTCCAACAGTGGTAGGTCCATATATATATATATATATATATATATATATATACATACCGTACATACATACATATATATCTATGTAATATATGTGTGTGTACTGTGTATATTTATTATGTGTATATAAATACAGACACATACGGTATATATTTTGAAAATATTTACATGTATATATTTATATTTATATAATTTATATTATATATAAATATATTTAATATAGAAATATAACATATTACTATAACTATAACTTTTCATGGTGAAATTGATAATCATCTGGTAAGAATGTTTTGGTGATTAAATTCAAAATTCTTCATTAAAGTGCAAGAAGCTGAATCCTGCCTACCCTTCCATGGGACCAACTTGGGATCTAGCTCTGGTCCTGAGAGATCTAACAGGCCCTCCATGAACCTTGAACACGCTCTCCCTTAAGACAGTTCTCTTACTTGCACTCGCATCAGGTATAAGTGAGTTGAGGACATGTAGTTTGGCCCAGGTCACTGCAGAGTTAAATAAAGGTGCTCTTAATGCTATTCAGAGCCCAGGTTATAACTTTGTTTGTTCTCACTCCAAAAGAGCCAGCCACAGGAGATACTATTTTTTGCAGTTACTATGTCCTGTATGCGCATTGCGTGTTTATTTTGAGCACTCTAGGCCTTTTAGAGCAGCTTTTTGTGTGCTTTGGCAGCCACACTAAAGGCCAGCCTGTTTTAAAGCTGAGACTGGATTGTTGATGTGATAGCTCCATCTTACAGCTCTCAAAGCTCTAAATGTTTAGGGGTTTGAGCCCACTCCACACAAGGTATGGCTTCCTCTTGGGCATAGGCAAATGGACTGTCTGTGGAGGACATCTGCTTAGCAGCTGGATGGATTTTACCGAATACTTTTGCCAGATTTTACAATCTGGGTGTTTCTTTGCTATCATCTCGAGTTCTGTCAGTACAGGAAGCTAGCTTTTTGTGGCCGAGGTTATGTCTAAAGCTGTTCTGTCACACATTTGCTTTATTCTTAGAGCCTGTTTTCATCTGGTCACTTTAGATAGCTATCCGATTTTGAAAAGACCAGGTGTAAATGCCTTCCGAAATGCTAATATATATATTAGGCTATTATATAGTATTATAATAGCATTATATAGTGGTTCAACGTATTATATTGTGTGTTTTTTTTAGTCACAGATCGGACTATTTTTTTCAGATAAGCAAGAAAAAAAATATTTAAAGCACAGAGAATGACCACTCCTAATATGTGACAGATAAGAGCAATCTTTCATTTACTTATTTAACATGAAATTGTCAAATTGCTACTCCATATCAATCACATACAAAGAAAATACAGAATAATTAGAACAATCATTAACATAAATAAATAACAGAGTGTCATATCTATACACATTTTTCCCAGAACGTTCTTGCGACCCGGTAGCAATTCTTCCATGGCCCGGTAGTGGGCGATACGATATGTATCATAGTCAGATATGACAGTGCTAATTAAACCAGGTCTCACAGATATCACTATTATATATCCTATAACACCAGCAGGGCTGCTGTCACTACTCTTTACTTGTAGATATGTGGTGCTACTGATGCTTGTGCAATATGTCTTTCAAATGAAGAACGAGTATCATGTACCTGGAAATATTCCATGTCTTCCCTCCATTTGCTGTATGTTGAGTGGGACTTTTGCAGTAGCATGGTAGGACTTTCGCACAATCCCCGTAGTGTCAGCTACTGACGCAATGTTGAGTAAACCAATATCCAATATCATTCCCTCATCTCAGGAAACTGAGGTTACGCTAGAATGGAGATGTTTTCAAAACTGAAAATAATAAATAATGAGAAATATTTCATGAGCACCAAATCAACATATAACAATGAAAATTCAGCTTTGTCATCACAGGAATAATTTACATTTTAAAATGTTAAAATATAAATAATTTTTCTATTAAAATAAATAATAATATTTAACAATATTACCGTTACATACAATATAACTGTATTTTTAATCACAAATGCAGCTTTAGTGAGCATTAAAGACTTTTTTCAAAAACAAACAAACAAAAAAATTTGAATAGTTGTGTCACGTTTTATACTCACGTTTAATACTCAAGGCTCGTTTTTCACTCTATATTTCATTAAATGAACAAAAGTGAGAATGATATCTAATCATTTCATTTTTTTACATTTTATTATATATAAAATGCCACACAGAGACCTCAGTAAACTTTTTTAGCGATGACACAAGTCGTTGAATCATAGTTATAAATCGATCTATTGAATGGGCATTGATTTGAATTCATTCACAAAAGTGAATTAGACTTAGGAAATATTTTTGCTACTGAAGTTTAATTCAGAGACTATTAAAAGTGATGAGACAGGGAAGTATTGTGAATTTTTTTGTCCTACAACAGCCAATGGCAAAAGAACGTGGTTATGTAAAGCTGCTTGAACCTCTGACATTAATTAACTTTGTCAGTCTGTCAGTTAGTCAGGTCTTAGTGAAGAAAATATTATTTATTATAAGTGTTTTTTGCACCACCATGTGAGTTTACAGTCAGAATTGAATGTCTTGAGCTAAAAGGGCCAGGACCACAAACATACAGCGCAATCCGAGTAGTCCATTACATGAATGACTCTTATGAACTGGCTCTTTAATTAATTATTCGAAAAGACTCTTAAACACTTCAGTTTTTTTGATGGAATCATGCTAATGAATCTTTCACTGAATCTTTTAGTTTACTAATTTAATATTTGACTCTTGAATTATTGAACCGCAAGTCATCATTACTTGTAACTGTGTGTGTGTGCGTAGGTCTACAGTGAATACAGAGCGAGCTTGGCATTTGATCTGGTCAGCAGCAGACAGAAGAATGTAAGTGCATGTTCATTTTATCATATCAGAAATCCTTTTGAAGCAAGAATCAATAATAAAGCAATAATCGTCTGAACGTTTGTCAAATTATGTATCAAAATGATTTTAATTTCAACAAATGATTCATGGTTCTAATTACATGGACTTAATTTTAAGAGCATTTTGTCCAGCTTTATTAATAAGATGCTGATATTTGTGTGATTTTTCCAGGCATACACAGACTACAGTGACAGTGTGTCTAGGCGGATGGGCTTCATTCCTCTTCCTCTTGCTCTACTGGTAACCACCCTCCTTATTTCATAATAATCACAGTACTAAATCTATCATACAGTACAAAGTAAAAGCAGAAACATAAATCCATTGTTTGCAATAATTAGCAATTTGTCATTTTGCTCCACTGCTCTTGTTAACATGCATTATTCTTCTATTTAACACTTTAAAGGGTTAGTTCACCCCAAAATGAAAATTCTGTCATTAATTACTCACCCTCATGTCGTTCAAAACCCGTAAGACCTTTGTTCATCTTCGGAACACAGATTTTTGATGGAATCTGAGAGCTCTCTGACCCACCATAGACAGCAACGCAACTTAAATGTTCCCAGACAGAAACGTAGCAAGGACATCAGTAATACAGTCCATGTGACATCAGTGGCTCAACTTCAATTTTGCGAAGCTACGAGAATACTTTTTGTGCGCAAAGAAAACAAAAATTATGACTTTATTCAACAATTCTTCTCCCCCGAGTTACGTCTTCTGCCATTTTGGAGAGTACCCAAGAACGTAATCGGCGTTGTTTACGTTAGGGGGAAAGTGTGCGCATGAACGTAATCGGCGTAATCAGCGTTGTTTACACTTAGTATAAAGCGTGCGTATGCGTTGTGATACTCTCCAAAATGGCAGAAGACGTAACTCGGGGGAGAAGAATTGTTGAATAAAGTCATAATTTTTGTTTTCTTTGCGCACAAAAAGTATTCTCGTAGCTTCGCAAAATTGAAGTTGAGCCACTGATGTCACATGGACTGTTTTACCGATGTCTTTGCTACGTTTCTGGACTTGGGAACATTTCAGTTGCGTTGCTGTCTATGGAGGGTCAGACAGCTCTCAGATTCCATCAAAAACATCTTAATTTGTGTTCCGAAGATGAACGGAGGTCTTACGGGTTTTGAATGACATGAGGGTGAGTAATTAATGACAGAATTTTCATTTTGGGGTGAACTAACCCTTTAAAGTGACTGTTAGACTGACAGCTGACATTTATTTACATTAGCTATATTTTTCAAAACTTCTAAAGCTATTTACCATGAAGGAACTGTGATGTGTAGTAACGTGGTATTACAGTTATACTCATGTAGTATGTGATTGACAGTTGATCCGGGTGGTGACCAGCTCAGTGAAGATCCAGGGCTCTCTGTCCATTGTTTGTGTTGTGCTCTTCTACCTGGGGTATGAGTTCACATTTTTTTAATAAACTTTTTGGTAACAATAGGGACCAATTCTCACTATTAACCAATTGCTTATTAGCATGCCTGTTATTAACACATTGGCTGTTTACTAGTACTTATAAAGCACATATTCTGCATGAACATATTCTACATCCCTAATCCTACCCAAACAACTACTAACAACTACTTTACTAACTATTAAAAAGCAGCAAATTATGAGTATGAGGCAAAAGTTGTAGTTAATGGTTTGTTAATGGCGAGAATTAGACCTTAAAATAAAGTATGACCAACTTTTTTTATTTTCAAGTTTGGCATCGCTGTGATTTTTCTTTAAAGAAATGTATACTTTTACTCAGCAGGGCTATATTAAAATAATAAAAAATGACAGTAAAGACATTTATAATGATGGAAATGATTCTGACAATTAGGCAATATTGCGTTCATAATCAAATGTGGCCATATCTGCATTATGAACGCGATATGGCCTAGCTTGTCAGTGAACTATGGCTCTGTGTAGTAAATGCCGCTCCATCTGAAAGCAGGTGATGGCGATTTACTACCAATCACGGAACCGGCTTTACTGACGAGATGCGCATGACAATCGCATGCGATTAATTGCACAGCCCTAGTTTCAAATAAATAAAGTCCTTCAAACTTTGTTCATCGAAAGAAACTATTTCCTCGCTTCATTAAGCAGCATAACCATTTCCAACTGGGATATTAATGCTAATTTTGCAATGCAATACTAAAGTAAATGGCTGCTGAAAATTCAGATTTGCCATGACAGGAATAAATTCCATTTTAAAATAAATCAAAATAGAAAACAGTTAGTGCAATAATATTTTGCAATATAACTGTTTTTACTCTTGGCTTTGTTGAACATAAGAATCCTTTTTCAAAAAATGAACTGATCCTAAAATTTGACCAGTGGCGTATATGATCTGAATGTTGTGCTGAGCCTGTGTGTTTGTGTGTGTTTATTCAGTATGATCACCCTGAAGGTGCTGAACGGTATTGTGTTGTTGGGGAAATCCTGTATGTATGTGAAAGAGGCAAATATGGAGGAGAAGCTGTTTCAAAATCCCCCCTCTGCAGCTCCCAGCAGAGTGTCCAGCAGAACCCACCATACCAAACACACACGCGAACCACCAGGTAACACACATGCACATGCACACATCTTCTGACCCACATAATAGAGAGAAGCCTGATAATAGACAGAAAATAGTTTGCAGAGTCAAGGTTTTGTTCTCACTAACCCATTGTGTCCATACCCCTCTAAAGGTGAGCCAGCGGAGGAGGGCATGTCTGCATCAGTCACCACTCAACCCACCCAAAGGTATGAATGCCCCGCCCCTCAGATCCCCACCAGCGAATCAGATCAGTTCCTCACTACACCAGATGAATCAGAAGAGAAAAGCCTTATTCAGGACGATACCGAACTTAAACACAGCGCACCCAAAAAAGACTTGCTGGAGATTGATCGCTTTACTATCTGCGGTAACCGTATCGACTGACATTAACGCGCACCTTCAAGTTTAAGAGTGATGCCAGGTATGCACTGAAATACCCGCCCTCTCTGCCAGCTTGATTAGTTTGACATTTGAACCTGAGCTCGTTGGAATGAGACAGCGAGAAACTGCGGGATATTTATTAATAAGCGATGCACCTAATTTATTTAAGACTTAAACACACTTATACACAGACAATCACACCAACACACACCGTTTTAACCAATTGGAATCCACCTAGTGACGTTTTCACACTGTCAAGAGGTTCAAGATCACCAGCGGAGGTCAACATTGGACGGCAGGGAAGATCTTGTTCTGATGCTCACTGTACTTGCCTTTCAAAGGGGGCATCCAATTAAGAAAATGAGAGAAAGGGGTGGATTATATTCCTAAATTACATATTTGGAAGATTCCATGCATTTGTGGAAAAATAGTAGGATTCAAATAATCAAAAAATGTAATGTACAGTGCTCCAAAACAAATGTCAAAAATTCTTACGGTTGTTTTTTTCTTCATTCATAATTCTGTATTTAAAAATGTCCCTTCCCCTCAAAATACTTTTAGTTTGAAATATTACCATGTTCATTGTCAGTCAGATGTGTCAATTATAAAAACAACATTAGAAAGATTGCAGCATCATTATGTTATTTTTGCACAGAGATTGGTAGGTCTATTAGTAAAATCAGTTGACTTTAGTAATCTTTGTTGGATTATGTGCTAATGGTGACCATTCAAAAATGGGACAAAGCACTTTTCAAGTTTTTTATTATTTTAGATGTTGGATCTTAACAAACTTTCCTTTTGGTATCTTAATTTTTAAGGTTCTGTATGTTTAAGTTCCAGAGATATTAGTTTTGGTGTGTGTGTGTGTGTGTGTGTGTGCGTGTGTGTACACACACACACATATACATATATATATATATATATATATACACACAAAGTTCTGGCATGAAACTCTAGATGGCGCAGTCCGATGGTCTAACTCAATCTGACCTAAAGACATCATTATCACATAGCATAGCTGATTGGTTCTCTCCTGTATCGGTTGCCAATGAGCTCGCTGCTCAACATTCAAATAATGACTAGTGCTTGCTGTAGCAGTTGCAGCTTGCTTCAGAAACCCTCCACCTTCCCCAGCTCCACCTGTATAGATCTGCTACGAAGTGATTAATGTATGCTATATGGGGGTTATTTCATGTATGTTATATTTGCAGCAGCAATATTTATTACATGCTCACAGCAGCATGTTGTGGATGTACTGCCAGTTGCAAGTCTCGGTACTTGCTCTGCCGCAGCAGCGTAGCAGATCTATTCCGCCAAGACCAAATACATTAACATTGTCATGTGCATTACCATGCCAATCCCTCTGAGAGTTGTCATGACAATATACAGTATCTCACAGGAGTGAGTACACCCCTCACATTTTTGTAAATATTTTATTATATCTTTTCATGTGACAACACTGAAGAAATGACACTTTGCTACAATGTAAAGTAGTGAGTGTACAGCTTGTATGACAGTGTAAATTTGCTGTCCCCTCAAAATAACTCAACACACAGTCATTAATGTCTAAACCGCTGGCCACAAAAGTGAGTACACCCCTAAGGGAAAATGTCCAAATTGGGCCCAATTAGCCATTTTCTCTCCCCGGTGTCATGGGACTCATTAGTGTTACAAGGTCTCAGGTGTGAATGGGGAGCAGGTGTGTTAAATTTGGTGTTATCGCTCTCACTCTCTTATACTGGTAACTGGAAGTTCAACATGGCACCTCATGGCAAAGAACTCTCTGAGGATCTGAAAAAAA